ACCTTGTTAATTCTGGCTGCATTTTGAAGTTCTCCAAGTCTAGCTTCTAGCCTGTGTATGTTTGAATGTGTCTGTATCTGCTAAATAAAATCCTGGTGTAAATTTATTGTAATTTCAAATAATGAGAAGAGTTTTCAATCACAACTGTGCAGCACATGTTGCTTGCCATGGATTGGGTTTTTCGTCCTGTATCGTTTACTGTACAGCACATTCCTTCCTCCATGGGTTGGGTTTTGTCCTGTATCGTTTACTGTACGGCCCAATTCCTTCCCCCATGGGTTGGGTTTTGTCCTGTATTGTTTACTGTACGGCACATTCCTTCCCCCATGGGTTGGGTTTTTTTTTTTCCTGTATCGTTTACTGTATGGCACATTCCTTCCCCCATGGGTTGGGTTTTGTCCTCTATCATTTACTGTACAGCACATTCCTTCCCCCATGGGTTGGGTTTTGTCCTCTATCATTTACTGTACAGGCACATTCCTTCCCCCATGGGTTGGGTTTTTGTCCTGTATCGTTTACTGTACAGCACATTCCTTCCCCCATGGGTTGGGTTTTGTCCTCTATTGTTTACTGTACAGCACATTCCTTCCCCCATGGGTTGGGTTTTTTTTCCTGTATCGTTTACTGTACGGCACATTCCTTCCCCCATGGGTTGGGTTTTGTCCTCTATCGTTTACTGTACAGCACATTCCTTCCCCATGGGTTGGGTTTTGTCCTGTATCGTTTACTGTACAGCACATTCCTTCCCCCATGGGTTGGGTTTTTTCCTCTATCGTTTACTGTACAGCACATTCCTTCCCCCATGGGTTGGGTTTCGTCCTGTATCGTTTACTGTACAGCACATTCCTTCCCCCATGGGTTGGGTTTTGTCCTCTATCGTTTACTGTACGGCACATTCCTTCCCCCATGGGTTGGGTTTTTTCCCTGTATCGTTTACTGTACGGCACATTCCTTCCCCCATGGGTTGGGTTTTGTCCTCTATCATTTACTGTACGCACATTCCTTCCTCCATGGGTTGGGTTTTGTCCTGTATCGTTTACTGTACAGCACATTCCTTCCCCCATGGGTTGGGTTTTGTCCTCTATTGTTTACTGTACGGCACATTCCTTCCCCCATGGGTTGGGTTTTGTCCTCTATCGTTTACTGTACGGCACATTCCTTCCCCCATGGGTTGGGTTTTTTTCCTGTATCGTTTTCTGTACTGGCACATTCCTTCCCCCATGGGTTGGGTTTTTTCCTCTATCGTTTACTGTACAGCACATTCCTTCCCCCATGGGTTGGGTTTCGTCCTGTATGTTTTCTGTACGGCACATTCCTTCCCCCATGGGTTGGGTTTTTTCCTGTATCGTTTACTGTACGCACATTCCTTCCCCCATGGGTTGGGTTTCGTCCTGTATCGTTTACTGTACGGCACATTCCTTCCCCCATGGGTTGGGTTTGGTCCTGTATCACTTACTGTACGGCACATTCCTTCCCCCATGGGTTGGGTTTGGTCCTGTATCATTTACTGTACGGCACATTCCTTCCCCCATGGGTTGGGTTTCGTCCTGTATCATTTACTGTACGGCACATTCCTTCCCCCATGGGTTGGGTTTCGTCCTGTATCATTTACTGTACGGCACATTCCTTCCCCCATGGGTTGGGTTTTGTCCTGTATCATTTACTGTACGCACATTCCTTCCCCCATGGGTTGGGTGTCGTCCTGTATCGTTTACTGTACGGCACATTCCTTCCCCCATGGGTTGGGTTTTTTCCTGTATCATTTACTGTACAGCACATTCCTTCCCCCATGGGTTGGGTTTCGTCCTGTATCGTTTTCTGTACGGCACATTCCTCCCCCCATGGATTGGGTTTTTTCCTGTATCGTTTACTGTACAGCACATTCCTTCCCCCATGGGTTGGGTTTCGTTCTGTATCGTTTACTGTACAGCACATTCCTTCCCCCATGGGTTGGGTTTGGTCCTGTATCACTTACTGTACAGCACATTCCCTCCCCCATGGGTTGGGTTTTGTCCTGTATCGCTTACTGTACAGCACATTCCTTCCCCTATGGGTTGGGTTTTTTCCCGTATAATACATTGCGTTCTGTTTCAAACGCTGCTTTATGCATTGAAATACCTCCATAGACCCAGTCTGTCTAGACAGTATGGCCACCTGCTGACTTAGCACCATCCACAAGCAGCCTAACTCTTCAGTAGGCAAGTGTACAATCCAAACGCACATGTTCCTGCGTTAAAAATGGCTGTGTGTCCAAGTGGTGCCGCAGCAACTGACGGCTGGAACCGAACAGAATCAGCAAAGGAGAATGTCACCAACACACCGAGGATCACCAATATGGGTCCAAACGTTTTAATAAACGATCACATGGTTACAGCAAGGCAATGTTTCGGAGTCTCTCAGGACCCCTTCATCAGGCATGTGACCCATATCACCAATATGGGACCAAAAGTTGTAATAAATAATCACTTAGTTACAGCAAGGCAATGTTTCGGAGTCTCGCAGGACCCCTTCATCAGGCATGTGACCATCATGCCTGATGAAGGGGTCCTGCGAGACTCCGAAACGTTGCCTTGCTGTAACTATGTGATCGTTTATTAAAACTTTTGGACCCATATTGGTGATCCTCTGTGTGCTTTTGACATTCTCCCTTGCTAATTCTTCAGTAAGACACAGATGCTGAATCCAACACAATTTTATTTCAGACAATTGTAGTACAGAGGATAAAATACTAGTAGTGGTGGGACCATCAAGGTGTACATATTCAATTTTCTGAATAGGGCATCATCCCTACTGTGAAAGCAAGTTGAAAATCTCCCCCTTCACCCCTACCAAGGAGGTAGGAGGGGAAAGAGAGATAAAATGGGACTTTAATTGTGCCACCAAAGAGAATACAGTCAATATAAATATAAAGCATAAGTCTTAATTAACAAAAGTAAAAACACTATAAAATACTACATATCTGGTGCCATGTGACCATATCATGAAATATATATAATAAATGGCATAAAATGGAGCAACGTGTTTAGCAAACAAGTCACTTTTTTAGGATCCATGCCTCTTGATTACATGCCCTGCCTTAGTCATCTTCTCAGTAAAATACTTCCTAAGCCCATTTAGCCCCGGTTCAAATATATGTGGCCGTGCGGGCCGTGTTTTGCACGGGCACGAGAGCAATTCATTTGAATGGACTCCTGTGCCCCAGGACACGCAGGGAAGAAGTCCCTGCACTTCTTCTGAAAACGCAGCCCACACGGGAACCTCGATTCCCAGTCCGGTTGCGTTTTCGAGTGCGGGCGGCGTGCCATTAGAACTAATGGCACCCGCCCGCGGGTCCGCATTCTTCTGTGTGGGTGGTGCGGCTGCACGGATTTTCATGCGGATCAGCAGCGGCACCACCCACACAGATGTGAACCTAGCTTTAAACCTGTGAGCTTTACATGCTTACCAGAAACAATGTGCTTACAGTGAAGAACACCCCCCGCCCCCTAGTAAAACACTCCCAGCACACAGTTAACCCTTTGATCACCCCACACATTATCCCCTTCCTGCCCAGTGCCATTAGTACAGTATTAGTGCTTTTTATTAGCACTGATCACTGTATTGGTATCACTGGGGGTGTCAGTGACACCAAGTCAGTTCCCCCCCAGTGTCAGAATGTCCGCCGCAGTTCCGCTAAAAGTCGCTGATCACTGCCATCACTTGTAGAAAAAAAAAATCCCATTATCTATACCGTCATTTCTAAATGCTATAACTTTCATGTAAACCAATTAATTTATTTACATGTATAGGGATTTTTATTAGCAAAGACATGGAACAGAATTCATTTTGGCCTAAATGTATGACTAAATTTGATTTTTTAAATTTGTTTACTGGACATGTTTAATAACAAAAAGTCCACAATATTGTTTTTTTTCTCAAAATAGTAGCAGCGGCTCCTACAGTGATCTCTGCTTCTACAAGGGCCGACCAGGTATGGCCAATGCATATTTGCACTAACCAGCCACTTTATGAGGTACACTTGTTCAATTTCTCTATAACACAAATTGCTAATCAGCCAATCACGTGGCAGCAACTCAATGCATTTAGGTATGTAGATGTGGTGAAGACAACTTGCTGAGAGAGAAAGACGTTCACTTTCACAGCTCCAGAAATCCCTGAGAACAAGAGTCAGGCTCTGCATACACTGTCAAGCAGCCTGCAGCCTCTCTTGGATCCCACCTGGTCTCCATGCAGCAAGTGTTCCTTCTTCCAAGGGGCACTGCTACCCCCCTGAAAAATACCACCCTAGGCAAATGCCTTGTGGTAAATATTCCCCTGACCCTAGGTGTATGACCGGCGGTACCTGCAGGGCAGAAAGGAATGTCCGCATCCCCTACACAGATTAGCTTGTCATTTTCTTGCCTCTTGTGAGTGTTTTTATTTCTATATTATTATATACAGCATCCAATTACTGCACTTAGCTGGCGCCTCCTGTTCTCTTTTTTTGATAGAAGTCACAAGACTGCTATATACTGCTGATGAGAAAAAGGTATTAAGCAGTTCATATTTACTAAAATAATCACATTTCCATGTTGTGTGTACTGTGACTGTGAGAGGGTGCGGGGAGACCAGATATAGTGAATGCAGGGTCCGGGGGAGACCAGATATAGTGAATGCAGGGTCCAGGGAGACCAAATATAGTGAATGCAGGGTCCGGGGAGATCAGATATAGTGAATGCAGGGTCTGGGGAGACCAGATATAGTGAATGCAGGGTCCAGGGAGACCAGATATAGTGAATGCAGGGTGCAGGGAGACCAGATATAGTGAATGCAGGGTGCAGGGAGACCAGATATAGTGAATGCGGGGTCCAGGGAGAGCAGATATAGTGAATGCAGGGTCCGGGGAGACCAGATATAGTGAATGCAGGGTCCGGGGAGACAAGATATAGTGAATGCAGGGTCCAGGGAGACCAGATATAGTGAGTGCAGGGTCCAGGGAGAGCGGATATAGCGAATGCGAGGTCCGGGGAGAGCAGATATAGTGAATGCAGGGTCCGGGGAGAGCGGATATAGTGAATGCAGGGTCTGGGGAGACCAGATATAGTGAATGCAAGGTCTGGGGAGACCAGATATAGTGAATGCAGGGTCCAGGGAGACCAGATATAGTGAATGCAGGGTCCGGGGAGACCGGATAAAGTGAATGCAGGGTCCGAGGAGAGCAGATATAGTGAATGCAGGGTTCAGGGTGAGCAGATATAGTGAATGCAGGGTCCGGGGAGAGCAGATATAGTGAATGCAGGGTCCGGGGAGAGCAGATATAGTGAATGCAGGGTCCGAGGAGACCAGATATAGTGAATGCAGGGTCCGGCGAGAGCAGATATAGTGAATGCAGGGTCCGGGGAGAGCGGATATAGTGAATGCAGGGTCTGGGGAGACCAGATATAGTGAATGCAAGGTCTGGGGAGACCAGATATAGTGAATGCAGGGTCCGGGGAGACCGGATAAAGTGAATCGAGGGTCCGAGGAGAGCAGATATAGTGAATGCAGGGTTCAGGGTGAGCAGATATAGTGAATGCAGGGTCCGGGGAGAGCAGATATAGTGAATGCAGGGTCCGGGGAGAGCAGATATAGTGAATGCAGGGTCCGAGGAGACCAGATATAGTGAATGCAGGGTCCGGCGAGAGCAGATATAGTGAATGCAGGGTCCAGGGTGAGTGGATATAGTGAATACAGGGCCCGGGGAGACCAGATATAGTGGGTGCAGGGTCCGGGGTTTAGTAACACTTTAAGATAAGGACATATTTCCTGCATATTGCCAATTAATACAGGTTGTGTGTTTTCAGCTTCCATCTCATATAGCTGTATTACTCTACAAAGATCAGACAGCAGCACAGTACAAATGTTTCATGCATAGATCATGTCAGTGACATACGATGTCTTATTAATATCTTTCTTTTTCCATTGTTGCCGAATAAGGCACGTTGATGCGTTTACTATACATCTCTTTCTAGTGGAATCTATTTAACAGCAGGGATAGAGGTAACCCATTCTAATGAATCATACTGGAACCCCATTCCATTTAACTTTGTTATTACTACCTTTAAGGCTGCCAAGTTACCTGCATGGCCTCCAACCTAATAATACAACACCTGCATGGATTCATTTGTATAACGAAGTCGGTGAACTTCCCTATCGGCAAGCATGGGCAGATTGAGATTTCATGTGTAGGTGGAAGTGGAGCTGCTCTTGTTAGTCCGTTGTCTTTCGATCTCCCATCATCCTCCCACAGGAGTACAAGCACTCATTAGATGAGGTGGCATAGGAATATTTCATGCTCTGCTCACAACCTATTAAGAATGAGTACTTACCATGCTGAATCATAGCACAGTGGAAGGGTACCGCGTCCTTCACATAATGAATCTCTCTTAGTTTTACATTATTTTTTATTTTTTTGTCAGATAATTATTTTTCTTCACATGGTTTCCTTTCCGATCCAATTAAATGAGGTCTCATACTATTCTTTTTCTGCTTTGAAATATTATTAGACTTTTTTTTCCCTTGTATACATAGAACACTGTGATTAACCCTGTGTCTGTGAAACGCGGTCACAATGTTGTATATAGTAGAAGGGGATGTAGGCAGAAATGTATGGAGGAATGGCTGGTAGATGACACAAGTGTGATCTAGTATGCTGTGCCTCCTTAGAAGGTCACCTACCTGACAGTACAAACATGACCACTTCTTACTTTTATAGAAAATCATTTGTTTTTGTTTGTTTTGTTTTTTTTTGCTGTTATTTATGTTTTTTTTATTGAAAAACATAAGAAAAAGCTTCTCCCATCCTATGGAACTCTCTACCCCAATCTCTCCGGCTGTCTCCTAAACTATCCACCTTTAGACGATCACGGAAAACCTTTCTCTTTAACCAATTCAATACCGGGCAATTTTACACCTTCCTGCCCAGGCCATTTTTCACGTTTCAGTGCTCTCACACTTTGAATGACAATTGTGCGGTCATACAACATTGTACCCAAACTATAATTTTATAATTTTCTTCACACAACTAGAGCTTTCTTTTGGTGGTATTTAATCACCGCTGGGGTTTTTATTTTTTGCTAAATTAACAAAAAAAAAACCAAAAATTTTGAAAAAAACCCACGTTTTTCTTTGTTTCTGTTATAAAAGTTTACAAATAAATAATTGTTCTTCATAAATTTAGGCCGAGATGTATTCTGCTACATGTCTTTGGTGAAAATAACCCAAATTAGGATGTATTATTTAGTTTGTAGGAAAGTTATTAGAGTTCACAAACTATGGGATAGATCTGAATATTGATCAATCCTGAAGCACTGACAGCCAATCTAATTTCTTGAGGTCCAAGAATGTCAGAATAGTACAGATATCCCCCAAATGTCAGAACAGTACAGATATCCCCCAAATGACCCCTTTTTGCAGAGTAGACAGTCCGACGTACTTCATAAGAGGCATGGCGAGTTTTTTGAAGTTGTATTTTTTTTGTCATAATTTTTCGGAAAATGAAAAAAGTAAAAAAATTATTTTCACTATTTTTTTTTTTACATATTGTCACCAGTGCAGTACAGTGTCATCATATAACTGGCATGGAACTGGCATGGCGGTGAACAGGGACACTGACTGGTGACAGTATGAAAAAAAATTATATATATATATTTTTTTTTTATTATTTTTAATTTTTTATTACATTTTTTTAAAAAAAATTTTTAAGATTTATTTTTCATATTTCACTATGTCCAAAGTAGTACAATGTTACCATATTAACATTGTACTACTTTGGGGAAGTGATCAGTATTTTTTTTTTTTTACACAATTTGCTTATAGCAAAGAATTACTTTGCTATAAGCAAGCATTTACCTGAATGAAATCGATTCATTCAGTTTGTTTGTTTTTTTTTTTTTTTGTGCTTAGCTGGGATTTGGCCACAGCTAATCACATGACATGTGCATGTGACCTGCTGTGACCATTCACAGCTAGGCACTAGTATACAATGGATGGCATGAATGAAGCCATCCATTGTATACAACTGTCATGTGACCTGTTGTGATTGGTCACAGCAGGTCACATGGTACCGGCAACGGGGCCGATACTCAGATCTGTCATCGGCCGTGTCCGAGGTACACGGCCGGCGACAGATTGCGCTGCTGCGCAGCTCTGCAACCACGCGAACTGCGCATGTGCGGGAAGACGCCAAATGGCATGCACCCGGAAAGCTAGAGCATTTTTGCGGCCGCCAAACGGCTATAGGCCGGGCGGCTAATGGTTAAAGAAGTCTATCCTGCTTCTACCTAGTAAACCGCCATTTATTTCCTTCATCAGCTCCCCCCCCACACCTATTACCTTTTGTATCACTCAACCCTTCCTCCTAGATTGTAAGCTCTAACGAGCCGGGCCCTCTGTTTCCTCTTGTACCAAATTATATTGTAACTGTAATGTCTACCTTCATTTTGTAAAGCGCTGCGCAAACTGTTGGCGCGATATAACTCCTGTATAATAATAATAATAATAATAATAAAAAAACAAACATTTTTGTACAAACTCCTCTACATTTTATTACAATTTTTCCAAACCCCTTTTTCCCCTCCCTTTTTTCCTTTTCTTTTTATTCCTCTAGTGTTCCTTCTTCACGTCCACATCTTTCCTCTGACCTTTTTTTACCATCTCCCTCCTTCTCCACCATCAGCTCAGCGAACCTCTGTGTAAGGCTGGCCATACATTATACAATTGTCTGTTCAATTTGTGCCTAATTTCCTTTAGATTTACCTTCAACTATGTAGCACAAGGGCCAAGGGCGGACTGACAACTCATGGGGCCTCCAGGCAATAAAGAATCATGGGGCCCCCGTGTCCTTGCCCACACTCAAAGCACACCCAAAAAAGCCTATAAAAAAGGTACCAGGGGCATTTCATGAGGCCCTTACTGACCCCAGGCCCTCGGGCAGTGCCCGAGTGCTTGAATGGTCAGTCCGCCCCTGACAAGGGTCCACCTAATTGGATACAACTGAAAGTGTTGTTTAGATTTGACCTCATATTATATGGTTTTTGGTAAATCTAAAGCAAAATTCCCAAGAAAATTGTATAATGGATGGCCAGCCTAAGTTTAAACCCACTCCATCCTTTCCAAATAGAAAATCACTTGTATCCAGAAGTTACCTACACTCACCGGCCACTTTATTAGGTACACCTGTTCAATTGCTTGGTAACAAAAATTGCTGATCAGCCAATCAAATGGCAGCAACTCAATGCTGTTCAAATGATAGACCCCAGATGGGCTGGTCTGAGTGTTTCAAAAACTGCTGATCTACTGGGATTTTCACGCACAACCATCTCTAGGGTTTACAGAGAATGGTCCGAAAAAGAGAAAATATCCAGTGAGTGGCAGTAGTGTGGATGAAAATGCCTTGTTGATGTCAGAGGTCAGAGGAGAATGGACATTCACATCAGTCCCTAACCCTCAAGGGGCATACAATCTAAGGTCCCTAGCTCACATTCATACATACACATACTAGGGCCAATTTACACAGGAGCCACTTCACCTACCAGTGTATCATAAAGATTGAATGAGAGTTCAGAAAAAAGAGGGAAGGGGAGCTGAAATTACACACTGCAGAGCTCAGTGAGGAGAGCTCTGAGACAACCCCCACTCCACACAGCTCGCAGGAACAGAGCTGAGGCTGTCAGTCTGCTGTAGGTCCCTCCCCTGTCACCATTTGTCTCTTGGTGTCAGGAAAACTGCAGATATTAGAGGAATAAGGCAGCAGCAGACAGAAATGACACTCAGTGCTCTTAGTTGAGACAAGTACACACTATAGATGGATACACATATTCATGTCTGAGGTTTACAACCACTTCAAGTATTCTGTACTCTATCCAAAATGAAAAAAATATTTTAGTTATACTTTATTACTTAAAGCGGAACTTTACTCTCTCAATCAACATGGTCTTTTTTTAATCCTTATGTTAGGATAAGAAAGTATATTATATTTACGTGTTTTAAACTTTGTTTGTACATTTCCATGGCTAGGCAAATGATGTCATATATCCCAGCAATTGTCAGGAGGGGAGGGAGGGTTCTCAGCTCAGACAATGCCTGAGCAAAGGGCAGATGGATTCCAGGAAGTAAATGTTACATGAATCATCTGCCCTTAAGATGGTCACTGCCAGAAATACCAGGGCAGTGTTTTCAAAATATTTTCTTAGCAAAATAAAGCATGGAGACATGGACGGAAGGAGGAGTTTCCTTTGCATATTAAACGCTTCCCGACCGCCCTATAGCAGAAATACTGCCAAAAGGCGGAACGGGTGCGCAAAATCACATATATATATACACGTGATTTTGCATTCCCGGGTAGGGAGCACGCATGAGACACATGAGCGCCCTACCCGCGCCACCA